CAAACCAGTCTGTGATTCTAGGAATGAAGACAATTGTTAGTGAGCTACTTTAAATAAACAAGCTCCAAAAAGTATTAAGCCCTATCCTTACTCCTCAAAATACCCTTGGACCATGCCATTACAGCCTTTTATTACAAACAGTCTGTCACAAACCACAGAAATGAGAATGATATTTGATGGAAAGGCTAACAGGAGAACTTTGCTAGATTCCCAAGAACATGGAATTGCAGAAAGGAACCATTTATCCCTATGTCTGAATTCATACTCTTTGAGAGCACAGGGCGAAGATGCGGTTTCTGAAAGCAATGTAGCAGAACAGCTTTTCCACCCTCAAAACAACTTTGTTATCCAAAGAACTGCAACCTCCAAGTAAAAAAGATTGCTTGCCTCCACAAACATGAACGTGGTGCAAAGCAGCAGACTAGCAGTTGCAGAAATCTTTCAGGTATATTTACCACCTCTGACTAATAATTCAGAAGCTAAACTGATGATTACAACAGGTAAGGCTTTCTCCTTGTGTCCTTCTTAGAGTCTGATCTACTAGCTGAAACTACAGGAAATTCAGTTAGCCTTTCCCTTTCATTACATAACAACTGTATTAAAGGTTTTCAAGGTGTATTTGTCAGTAGGTTCATAAACATTAAAAGGAATATGGAAATCTGAAGAATTTTAAGAACGCGGAAGGAAGGTAAGAAAGCATGCTTATAACATCTAAGGGGTATAGTAGGAAACTGAGACTTTGAAAGTATGTCCTTTGCTATAATCTTTTATTGCATTGTTGCTTATTTATGAAGTGCCCTTCAGCTTTCGCTTGTTTGATTCTGTCTGCATAATCTGTACACACATATCTTCAAGCCTCATGATATCCTGATCTCAGAACCTTTGCCACGAGGGTGACATCATTAAATAACTAGAATAGCTTGGAAGCAAAATTTCCCAAAGCTGCATTCTGTACCCTGAAGTCTGGTATAAAAAGACAGCAGTGACCTAACAGATATCACAGTTGAAGATATGAACGCCTTATTGTTACTAGAAGTAGTTAGTGATTTACAAATACAATTGCACACTACACTAAAATAAATAAATAAATAAACAAACTGATGTAATTACACAATCCAAGGACATTCCAAATTATATATTCAATTGCACACTCCTAATCGATACATTTGGTCTCACAAGGGGTATTCTGCAACAATGATTATGCTAGAAGTGATCGGTGACTGGCTTTCTGTCTTCACAAAGAACTGCAATCAATGACTCAACTTGTGTCTTCCAGTTCTGTGCATATTCGTTCTTCTGGAGTTTTAAATTCTGACCTTTCTTCTCACCACTGTCATCTAGCATTGTAGTCTAGCAATTAAAATCTACAACTACAAAAACTAAATGTAACCTGAGAGAAGATCATACTATGTGGCGTGGAAACAGAGGTGTATGCTTCCACTTACTTATGTTCATGATTTTACTTCGTTAAAATACAGTTGCACAAGAGGGTTTTAGAGCATCTCTATTTAAAACAGGCCAGTTGGCAAATGGAGAGGCTCAGAAATTAATGGTGAGCTTTGTAAATAATCTCAGAAGCTTTTAGTTTTATGCGCTTTTTGTTTTGCTATGGGACTACACTCCCTTGTAAGATTATTGATTAAAACCTTTCTAAAATTCTTTAATCAGGCTCTGAGGTTTTTCTTGGCCAACTAGAAAAATCCTTCTAACTGAGGAAACTATAATAGAATTTACAACAAAACCCATAAAGCACTCCACATATCAGAAGCCAAAGTTAAAATCAGGGTGAAAAAAAAATTAGGATACATGGTATATATATACTTCTGTAAAAATGATAATATATGATTCAAAGATGTATGGGAAGAAGATGAAAAAGAGAGTTGTACAACAAAAATCTGAAATTTAGTGCAAGCAGTATCCCCAAATATTTTAATAAAATATCCTACATAAAATACGACAAAACACACTAATAGGAGTCTACCATCACAAAATACCTAAAATGGATCAATACATCTAGAAAGTTCTATTCCTGGTCAGCTGTCAATCTGACTGAAATACAGTAGACCACCTCTAAAAATGTTATTTAAATTAACAGCTGAAAAGAGAAAAAAAATCATTAAAAACCCCCAACCATCTGCAAGATGTTCCATGAAAAAACACACAAGTCTCACACCAGTACCACAGTACTGCAGCTGCCAAACACACTTTACCTTATATAGATCTATTTTCCATTGACACTTCTTAGTGTAAAGAGAGTTCGAGACCTTTTAATGTTCAGCCGTATCAAACCTGAAACATTTGATTCCTACAGAATGTCATTATGTGAATGGTCGACTTTATAGCACCAAGTATCGTGCTCACGTACAATGTGTTACTAGAAAGCAATCTGAAAAAGGTCTCTAACATCCCCGTCCCCATGAACAAATGAGATATTTCTACAACCATAATTAATTCTACCTGTTCTGTCTCCTCATCGCTGGACTCAAACTGCCAAGATCCAGGAAAGATACTTTCAATCATTTTACAGGATACGAAAAGAAACATACTCTTGGGATCAGTGAGCAGCAGCAGGGTCTTCTTCCCTGATACCACACACAAACTCCCAGGGAGCTCATAAGCTGTTCAACCAACTCCATTAATTTTGCAAAGGCTTTGGGAGGTGTTTCACTACTCTGCTGAAGAGATTCTTAGGCTTCCCTTTCAGATTCACCTTGCTCTTTTCACTGAGTATACAGAACCTTGCTTGGATCAGGACCTGGATGTGGGCAAGCAACATCCCAGCTGAAGGTGTTAAAGTAGGCGCTCTGGATTTTATCCGGAGTGTACATTTACAAACACAGAAATTAACTGAACATAACTGAACTACAGTGAAAGGTGAGCAAAATACCTCCTTTAATTTCCTTTGTTCCAGATTATAAAGAATCAATGTTTTGACTGTAACACATTCAATCTGTGAAACATAATTCACTTTCAAAGGCTCATGTGTGGAATTTTCAAACCCATGGAAAAAGCTTACCTTTCTTCACACTAAATAATTTCTATTATTTCTGATACTAAAGTATGCAGGAACAATATGGAAAAATGAGGTTATGCACTGTGTTTTATTTGAGAATAGATCTTAAAACTACAAGGTTTTACAAACAAACTCATAATTTGTTCTTCCACGTAGTCTAAGGCAGTCTGGATGCAAAGGTTTTCCTTTTTGCCCATTTTTATTTTAAATGCTTAGTCCAGACCCCCAAAAAATTAAATGGCTTGTCAACATAACTACATTGTATGTGTACTATCATTACTGATACCATTATCAGCAGAAATCTCTTTCTCATGAGAAAAATTAATGAACATATAGGATGACTTAACATGAAAACTTCCCCACCTGTGTATCCTTGTACTTTTCTCTTAAGTCCATGAGCCGGTGATAAGCTTTAATTGCTTCTGAAAACTCTCCCACATCTGTACTGGTGAGAAGATAGTTCTCCCATATTTGCCAGTGCTCATAGTTGCACTTGAGAGCTTCTTGGAGTGTTCGAAATGCTTTGATTCTAATCAATAATTTAAAAAGATGAATAGAAAAAAAGATTTTATGTCAAAGATTTAATATAGAAGTTTACTGTGTTAAAAGCAGTTGGCATTGTATCAACTAAAAGCTGCTTATTTAAAAAACAACTGTTTAGAAAACAATGCAATGTAAAAGTTACGGTTTGTAATTTACAATACTGATAATTCCTTAATCTGTCTTGCTAATTACTTTCTATGAGTACATTCCACAGTATGCTTTGCAGAGTCTGAACTAGGTAATTTCTACATTAGCTCTCATAATTACATTTTGACAGAAATTGATTACAATTGTGCAATCTCTGTCAACATTTTCTATTCTGAATTTTTAACTGGAACCAGGAGAAAACAGTCTCACTCATGCTGCAGTTGTAACACATATTAAAAAATGAAGAACCAACCTCACCACTGAAAAGCGTATTTTTCCCAACTGAGTTCATGGCAGACGCAGAATGATATTATTTCATCACACAAAGGAAGGTTATTTTACAGTAACAGCTTTTTGTGATGTATTTTAAACATTTGCACAGTTTTAACATGCATACCCATTGCACACAAGCCCAGCATTTTCAATCGTTTTTTTCTTATGTCAGCTGGAAGCTTTACTTACACACTCTGTCCCTGATGCTATGCTACTCAGCTTAAATGTGTCAGAGTGGCCTCAAACACTATTAGGGTCCTCCACCAAAGGTGCTGCCCAGTGATCCATCAGAGTGGCAGAAGAAAAGTGTTGTTGAATAGAAGCGGACGGAATAATTCCTGTAACGTCACTGTCAAGTCAGGAAGCATCTTTATTTTTTCATATGGATCCACTGCAGGCAACCCTTTGCCATTCCCTCGCTCAAGGAGAGAAGTAATGGAATTCTCTGGTAAGGAACGTAAGACAGTTTGACTAAATCAAGAATATGGGCTGCAAGCAGCTGACTTAAATTTCAGAGAGGTATAACGTCCTGCAGAACGTGTGACAAATGCTGCCAGAGAGGAGGGAGAAGGAGTAAGAGGTCTTAATCCAACCTGAAACGTATATTGTTGCGGTCTGGGTACCTAATGTTTGAAGTTTTAAATGTACTGCCAGAAAGTTTAAATAAATTTAAGACTTGAAAATAACCTTTGTTAGAGAATCAGAATGCTATGGTTCTTAGGACTTCAAGAGGTTGAAGCTTACTCTCAGCTTGACAGTCATGACATGTAGAAAAAACCACAAAAGAATAAATTCCTTTAAATGAAAACCTGAAACAGAGTTTTCCCAGGTCAGTAAAAATCCTCTTTGGGGAGGCCTGACAATAAATCTCTTCTTAATAAAGAGCATATAAAGATGGCTTGTTATCAAAATTTGCAGTTCACTTGCGCTATTGGTTGAGTAAGTTGCCTAAAAAGTGCTGTCTCTAAAGAAAGACAGCTCAAAGAAATTGTTGGTTGAGTTTCAAAAAGAGGGTCCAGGGAGCATGTAAATATCCCAGCCAGAAAAAGGGAATATCTAACTAGTGGATCAGGCCATTAAAAGTTTGGAATGGCTGGGTCAGGGAAAATGTAAATCCCTGCCAATCTAAGCCCATAGTATTAAAAGAGTTACCAAATACACACAATGAGAGATGACTGATAGAGCAAAATTATTGAAGGAAAACAGGTCATCTGGCATAGCTACAGCAGAATAGCACACAGGCAGCTTTTTCCCATCATGACTCCCCTTTTCTCTGTCTTCTGATATACATGATGCTGCTGAGTAAATGTACTAACAGTTGGGTCTTCTCCACTGTTAACAGTCTTCACAAGGGATTTCAGACTCTGATTTTGATAGATTATATTAGAAAAGAAGAGAGACCTGCTCCTTCCTCTGCAGATTTTGCTACAGTGGAAGCTGGGACCTGACACAGCTCTCTGACAGGCTGGAAGATGCTCTGGCTGACTGATGTACCCCGATCACCTTGAGAAACTGTTTCTGAAACCACTCTTCAACATCTGCAGGATTAGCCTGTATGATCCCCCCACCTTCTCAAAAAAGTTATCGAGTTATCGGGAGGGCAGATGCCAATCAGATGGAACTGTGAAAAGTAGGTAAGACATTAGAGGGATGGGATGGAAGTCGTATTCCTCAAATCACCACCCTTGCTATCCTAATGAAGACCTCTGTGTTCTCAAAACAAATCCTCTGTGTATTTAATCAACCATATAATGATCGGAGTATCCTTATCCAGGGCAACAATTAAACCAATTCATCTCCAAACAGGAAACAGTATGCAGTACCCAATGCATCATCCTGTTTTGGAAACCAGGAATCTTTCACCCAAAGGACAGAGGGCCAGTTCCAGTTGTTTTGAGAAAGATGAAATCTATACATTTCAAAGGCCTCCTGGCACCCTGGAAAGTTTTTCTGGTAAACCAAAGAGCAGAGTCTGTTTTCACCACAATTGATTTTTCTGGAGGAAATTCAGAATACACAAAACCCCTTTCATCTGGGTGTCAGCAAGTTGTCTGCACACAGACTTACACATTTTATATTTGTCTGTTGTATGACTCCACTAAGCCTTACCCAAATGCGTGATCCGTGGGTGGCACTGATTTGAGAGCCTGGTTGGAGTAAAGCTTGATTTTGATGAGGGAGCAAAAGAACACACTTAACGATCTCATTCTTGTTTTCCTTTTTTTTTTTGCTAGCAGGCTTGAAAAATTCTTGAAAATAAGAATTTGCACTTTCACTACTGGCTTGGCCCCCCAAAATAAATTATATTGAAGTGTACTAGTACAGACATCCTCTGTTTCGACAGTGGGTTAAACTAACTCACACACAGTCTTGATCTATAAGTGACTACACAAATAATGAAAGAAGTTGCCATTCCACAGCAAATACAGGCCACACTCAGCTATCAGCATGTAGTACCAACTTCAGATTTTGTGTACATACATGTCTCTCCCAGGTGATTCCTGTGAGGAAAAAGCTTGGAAACATGCTCCCCCCTTTACTGCTTTTGATACAATATCAAATAGGTCACAAGCTTTGTATTTAACATGCATTTAGCATATTAAATCAGAAGAGTAGATTAACAATAATAAAATTAAACCAATAAAGTGAAACTAATCAGTCAGTAGTTTCTCAGCCCTGTAAGCAGATGAACAGACAGAAAAATTATTTTGATTAAAGATACTTTTATGAAATAAGGATAAATCAGTACAGTCAGCATCTGCCCTTTTGAACTTTAAGCAAAAGAAGGAGCAATCCATCGCACACAGCCTAAGACAATAAACTGGGCATTCTCAAGGCACTACTGAAAACTTAGAACAAGCTCTTGATTTTGATTACTTCTTAGTCTTAAGAAGTAATTCCAACCTTCATTTTCTCTTTCCTCCTGCTCCTATTAGCATATCAAACCATCTCTTGAATTGATTTATGATATTACTTCCAATATTTCCTTCATATGTTTATCATCAATTTACCCTTTTATGTAAATTTACTATTCTTTTACTCTTTTTTTAGTTTGCCTCCTGACTTCATAACTGTATAAACTGACGTCAGATTTTGAGTAAGATTAAAAAAACCTCATCTTATTCTTTTGTTTCATTCTTTGGGGACAAGTTATAATGTGAAAATTCTTCTTAAACATGAAGTTTTTTCATGTATTCTGTGACTACAAGTAACTTCTATTACACCAAACTGAAATACAGAACAAGTAAGTCCATTTAGGTCAAAGCTTCTTGTACTGATGGTTAATTTGGAGGGAAAAGAACAAGTAAGCTATTATGTGTGTAGATCTCCATCAGCTTTTGTAATCTAAAAAATAAACTGCCTGTTTTTCCCTTCAAAACGACTGAGATAAATGTAGTATGAATTGACACGAAGTCTAAATATATAGTTTGTTTGAAACGAACGTATCTTTTAAAATTCATAGTCAAATTAGTTTCCATATTAATTGTAATATCAATGTTTTGCACTGGTTGTACTTACTAAATCAAAATACTTTTAACAAGAAAAAAGTTGCAACTTTTATAAAGCTTACGAAACTATGTCCTGCAAAATGAATGTGATCAATGATCCAACCTGGGAGAGAGAACTGAAGGGATAAAAATTACAAAATACGAGGTAATATTATAAGAATAAAAAACTCAAAGTCAAAAGGAAATCCCATTATTTATTTTGGAAGCAGTATCTTCTAATCCTTCTGAAGTACTTACTTCTGTTTTAATCTGATATAAGCAGTTGATAAATTGTTCCAGGCCTCAGTGTTCTGTAATGATAAAATGAGAAGTACCATAAAAAAATTATTCACTTACATTATGCTTACTTCATAAAAATATGTAAACAAAACTACTGTGAAATATCATGGATTTTGCTAATCATGCTTATTAACACATCTTTTCTACAAGGCAGTCAAACTATTATGTTGAAATAGAAAATATTATATTAAAGTAAGTAAATATTACTAACTGCAGCAACAGTCAGGTATCTAAATATCAATTAACTGCCTTCTGGTTAGAATATGCTCTTGCCTTCAGTTTAAATTGTAAACAGGCATCCTCTTCTGGATCTGATTGGGATGGCTGGAGATGTCAGTGCTCCGAGCAGCTCACCACTTCGCACTAGCTTGGAAGCTACTTACCTCCACTGCTCTGTTAGCGCAAAAAAATTATCTGCATGTCCCCTGCTGCACCTCAGGCAAAACTAACAGCGTTAGTTCCAACAGTGTGTATGAACTGTTGTAGCTGAAAAGGACTACGGAGTGCTCAGACAATCTTGCCTTTGGTAAAACCAGCGGAGCCATGTATACAGATGTTTCCTGCCCATTGCCTTAGGCTGCTGTGGATTTGAAGCTGCACCACTGAATTCATCAAAGTGACTACTCGTACAAATTTGAAGAACAGAACCTGGGTACTGCAATGAAATGTACACTGGTACTAAAGTCCATCTTCAGGCATAAGGATCATTTAAGTCATGTTGGGAAATCTTCTGAGGCTTAATTCATGAACATGGTCATTGCACTGCCGCAGGTTATTGTACAAAGATAGGTTTCACCTCCATAACTAAAAGCCAGCCCAGCATCCTTTACTCACAAAAGAAAAACTACTTAACCCACAGAGAAGTCAGTTGGCTTGTTCATATGAATACAATCAAGTACATGCCCCAAACAGATGAATGAAATATTTAGTATCTACTTAGAATTAAACCTACTGTACTGAAAGTAAATTAAAAAATATATAAAGTAAAAATTCCAGTTAAATACAGGGTTGTCTGTATGTACATTTTTTCCCCCAAGTTATTTAATCTTATTAAGAAAAAAAGAATACGGTCACCTTTAATTAAGTACTCATTCTTTTCCCCAAAAGAAAAGAATGAATGACAGTTTGTATCAAGTAGGTGGCATTGACTCTAAGCTAGCAACATGCCCCCAGTCAGGCCTTTTGACAGAAGTATTGCCAGTACATTCCCATGAGGTAATCCAGATGGTGCTACTGCTACCTCAATGCACAGGCACACTCAAATGGCCATACCGTACACATGCTTGCCCCATGCATCTTGAAAAACTGGCTAACAAGCTCCATTTTCCCTGTGCTCATGAACCATAGGGTTACAAATTCACCTGTCATACAACCACTTATTTGACTTTTTTCAGGAGAATTTGATGACTTGATGGACTAAATATTTTAATTTTTTGTTTGTGTGTTTTATCTCTCTCTTTAGCACTCCTCACAGTCTACTCATTCCCTTTTCTCTGTTCTAGCAACGTATGCAAGCATAAAGGAATTTCTGCTCAAAACTATTTTAACATTCACACACACATACTTGGACAAACTTAAGTATTGGGCAAGTATTTTTATGATGCCTCAAGACAAAAATATATCCTTCATGCACAAGTTTAATTTATTCAAAGGGCTAAGGTTTCAACAAGTTTTTCATTATTGCTTTGTTTGTTTATAATGAAAACATCCTTGTTGCTTTTAGATAAGCCATCTGAATCACCTGTTGAAAAGTACCTACATCTGGTTCCAACGTCACACAGCGCTGAAATGCTTTGGCAGCACCTTCGTAGCCTTCTAAAGCAATGTATGCACAGCCCAAGGAAAACCATACACCTAGCTGGAGGGAGAAAAAAAATGGATGGTTACATATATATACACATACATATTTCTATGCCAAAGAAATAATTTTGCCTGGATGGTCAAACACAAGCTACTCTTGTTGATTTTAACTGATCTTCAGCTATCATAATAGTATGGCATTGGAAAAAATAATATCCTATATGCAGAATATAGGAAAACTTTAGGTGTAAAGTTTTAATAAATATGGATAAAAGAAAGTGTTGTCTGTATAAAGACCACTTAACCATATGCTCTTTAACAGCACATCTTCATTTAGAGAAAAGAAGTGATAGCTATTTAGAAGTTTGCATATTTTGCTTTAACTTGTGAAAACTCCACATTCAATTTATAGTACCACAATTAGGTCAAATGGTAAATACTAGGAAATATATTTCAAGGAAATACAATACATTTTACAAGAAAAATTTCTAATGACTGAACGTGAACACTTCAAAATTAAGGCTCTTTCTAATTGTCAGAATATCAATCTCTAGTTTACCATGCAATGTTCAGAGACAGAAATGCACTTAAGTAATGCCTTGCATAGATAACTTCACCAGTTCAAGAAGCCTGCATTGTACATCTTTAGTTGTTACAACCAAATACCTCTCATCCATACAGATTCAAACAATATCAGATATAGGCCTAAGTTACAGCAAATTAGGTATGTATTCTCAGTGGGAATTTCCTGATTTGTCACATGGGTTAATTCTCAAAGAGCTGCAAGTTAAGCAGTACCACCTTTTAGAAAAGCACTGTAATTCAGGAAAGTATTAAACCCCAAGAACATTCACAGAACATTTTCTGACACCATTATGCTATTTAAATGTATGCAGTCAAAATCAAACAGAACATTCTATAACGTGCTGCGAAATAATTCCTGGTAATAATACTAACTACAAGAAGCTCAGCCATTTCTCCATTCTAAATGCCAAGGTAAGAAACATAAACAGGTTTTCTTGGAAAATTTTCTGAGAGAGGCGAAAAAGGTTGGGAAGAAGAAGATGGAAAAATAGGATATTGCACAACATATTACATTTCAAGATGTCTAATTAATCTATCTTTTTTTTTGTGTAGTAGTTTTGAAGCAAGGAATTCTATAACAGGTCCTTTGTAGGAAACTATAATGGCTATTTAAACACAAAAAGGTTACCTTAAGAAACATTTGCAAATCAGGGATTTTACAGGGCTGAGGATAAAGCTGTTGCTTCATATGCAACGAGCTTCTATCTCTACTTCTTAACTGCAAATTCTGTAGCAGATATTTTTGCATTTCTCCCCAGATCAGACTCGTTTTTCTTGTCTCTGCAACTCAACTTAAAATCAGTAACAAGATGTCTGCTACAACTGAACGAACCTCATCTACCTGCCTACAGAGTTTGTAGTTAATCTGCTTCAAAACTTAGATCCCAGCATACAAACGTATGACATACACCCCTGTCAGGGCTGGCACCCCGGAGGGCAGTCTTCCTGATCCTCACAAATGTGGCAATAAAGACACCCTTTGGCATTTGGGGGCGTACATGGGATGGCTAGACCTCGGAGCATACGGATGCATTGAAAGGTGAAGACGGAACTGCCAATTACATCCAGCCTGCGCAAACATGAAAATCTATTTTTCAGCACTGTCAGTCTGTCACCTTTCATGATCTTTAAACTCATAACTCAAAGAAAAATCTGTGCACGAGGAAAAAACTCTTCCCAAACCTCAGAGGGCAAAATTAGGAAATAAACATTTAGTCAGTATAATTTTTAAAGCCTCTTTTATCCATCAAGTTTCCAGAAGTCCAGCACTCCCACGTGGCTGCTACCTCGGTAACTCCCCTTCCTCTTCTTTATAGAGCAGCAACTTTCTGGCCATGAAAAGCAGGGGTAGACATGGGGATTAATGAAGTATGAAATTTAAGGCTAGTTCCAACCCTGTAGTTCAGGATGCAAGTTAAACAGTGCTTCTGTAACAGGTGAGAGAAAAAAAAATAATGTATTTTTTATAATTTTAACAAGTAACAGCCGCACAGTCTCACTTCAGAGCTTGGAAGTGACAGCACAAGGAGAAAGCAAAACGACTATTTACTTTGGTGGAGAAAAGCTACATCAGCAGGTACCTAGTAAGAATCATACAGTGACTGCACAGAATGGTAACTGATTTTCTTTTCTTAATAATTTGAAACAATGTATTTTGCGTAGCAGTAACTATGTATGAAGGTTTGGAATGAATGGAAAAAATGTGAGAACTGGACATGATGGAGAATGTTGGGAAAGGTGTCCAAAAGGGATCCTTTAGCAGATGAGTGAGATGAAAAGCCTCTGAGGTAGGAATTAAGTCAAGGAGCTGAGATGCTACAATATGAGGTCAAAAAGTACACAGAAAATGGAACAGGCCGTGCAGAGGGAAGAATATTGCTATATGTTAAAGAAAACTTCGGCACCAATCATCTAGAAAATTAACTGTGTAAGCAAACAACAGAACTGGTATGGATGAAAATTTCAGGCCTCAGCACAGAAAACAATATAAAGACTGTATCTCTGAATACTTGACTAAAATGGAGAAGGTAACATACCAGGGGATATCAGAAGGCTGTGAAAGCAGTAATCCCAGAAAATAGAGGGAGATTTCAATTATTCCACATAGTTTAGTAAATACCATAATGGATAAAATTCCAAGGCTAAATTTTTTAGATACAAAGAAGCTAGTCAGAAGACAGTACTCACCTTGACCCTGACGGATATGAATGATCAGGTTCAAAATGTTACTATACAGAAGATACTTTGAAATGCATCTAGATTCACTAGTCCTTCAAGAACAAAGGTAACTCATTTAATACATAGGGTGTTCAATTTAAAGAGCGACTTAAGACGGAAAAGCTATGTTAAAAACTAAAAGAGGCAGCTAAAATAGCAAAGATCTGCAAAAAAAACCATTTAAAGACAAGAAATTTCAAGGCTTGGAGCAAGGGTGTATTGTCATTCAAAAATGCTCTAAAGAGACTAGACAATCATAACAGCTAAAACAAAACAAAGGAGAATATTGGGGGGGACTTTTTACAAGGGCCTAAATTAAAATTGAAAGCGGAGAGTTTTAGATTGGATATCAGGAAGAAGTTCTTCACAGAGAGGGTGGTGAGGCACTGGAACAGGTTGCCCAGAGATGTTGTGGAGGCCCCATCCCTGGAAGCATTCAAGGCCAGGCTGGATGAGGCTTTGAGCAACCTGGTCTAGTGGAAGGTGTCCCTGCCCATGGCAGCGGGGTTGGAACGAGATGGTCTTTAAGGTCCCTTCCAACCCAAACCATTCCGTGATTCTATGAGTAAGAATAAGAGGACACACTTTAAAATCTGGTGTGCTATACAAGTAAGAAAGCTAGAGAAGAACAGGTCTGACAGGTTAAATGAAAAAAACGTGGTAGCTGTGTAAAAAAACCCAAGCAAACCCACAACCAAAACCAACCAAACAAAAAAGATCAAGTTTCATTGCCTTTGATCTACTATAGCAATGAAATGGTACTCTATCATCCCTTAGATATCTGGAAAGGGAGAGTGAATTTGTTCCACAATATAAGAAGGACAGTGACTCTAATAATAAATTTAGGATAGAGTTTATGAAGGAACTTAAGCTATTTTGTGTGGAAAGAATGGCAAGAATTCCCTTTTACTGGGGAGGGCACAAAATCTGCTGATCCCACTGGCTGATGTAACAGCTGCTCTAAGGACTGACTGAAAAGTAGCGTAAAGGAAAACTTTGCCCAAAGTTCAAAAGAGGCTTTTGTCAAGGCTTGTGGAACTAGGTTAAAGCTCTTTTTTGGAAATAAAAAAAAGTGCATTGGCTAGGGGTTCAAATGTCACTACTGATTGGAAAAACACATGAAAATCAGCTGTACATTTTTATCCTTTTCAAAACTGAAGACAGTGACCAGCAGAGGAAGATAATTTAGGCTTGGACTCGTCGTTAAAACTTGCCATCAGGAATTTCTAGGCAAGTCTTCAATGAGTGTAAATGATTATGAAATGCTTTAAGAAAGTCTAAAAAATTCTCTCATTTTAGTAGGAATATCGTTCCAAAATAACCTAATTGCAGTATAGCTGAATACTTGAAAGAAGAAACCCAAATCATGCATCTAAAGAAACATTTTTGCATTTTTAAAGCAATTTTTACTATTTGAATATAACCAATACATATAGATATTCCCACCCCCCTGCCTCGAATCCAATAAACCCTTCAGTTTACTCCTAAACTTCAGTGTACTCCTAAACCCTTAGCAGTACAGCAGTGTTAGTTTAGAAACAATCTATACCCTGTACAGCAAAATTAGTCTTTGGAGTTTGGTAATCAGAATAACATTTTAAGAGCACTAGTTGAGTGGAATCCTAGCTGAGTACCTTTTTCATTAGTCTTTTTTTTTGGCAGCATTCATCTCTCTTATAATTCAGTTTCTTTTGAACATAACACACTGACAGAAATTACTATAGTTTTAAGTAAGTCCAGAGACTTTTATCATCATTTCCAATGACAAACTCTAGCTCAACTCTTATTTAAGTTACTTTTACTATTTGACAAGAAGAATGAGAAGAATTGTTGAGAATAAGGTTCTCGCTGCATTGTTCCAAACTTTAAATTTCAGATGCAGTTGATGGCAAGCTGACTTCTAAAGCGTGACTTTTTCCCAAATTGGAGAGATCACTTGTTTTGCTTCACACCCAAGAAAATTAGCCTGAGAGGTTATGAGCCAAACAGTCTAGCACAAAAGAGGATTGTTCTTTTCTTGCAGACTGGCATGACGGAGAATGGTGTGGGCACCAAAAAGGTGCTATGAACACTCTTATTTCTGGAAAATTCAAATGTGAAGCAACTGGATATAGAGAACCATACACCGTTCAGCACAAGAACTGAGAAATCTGTAATTTAACAAGCTGTAAGTTTTGTTAACTCGGACTTTCTCTGCTGGAGAACTGACTGCATGAGCTCTTTGATCACTGGAATTGTCTCAGTCCAGCCTTGCAAGATGCTTGCAGTGAAAGTGCAGGAGCAATGCATCTGTCATCCACTAGGAACGTACTAGAACAAGTAATTCTGTGAGCAGCAGTGCTAATGAAGGCGAGTTTCAGATATATTTGAACTGTAAGACTTTCATTCCTTTGTGAATTCTCCAAAGTCTAATATGGTGGTTGGCTCATACTGCAAAGACCTACCACAGAGACCTCAACCAAATCAGACCAGTTGACCAAAGAGTACACAAGATTAAAGGAGGGCTGACAGAGAAAGGTTTTATTCATTAGATATTTTGGGGAATCCCTTGCTGCAGTCTAAAAATCCCTTCCTCCAAAATGGTTTCTGATAAACACAGAAAATAAAAAAGGAATTTATTTGTAATAGGGAGTCCTTGTCTATCTGATAAATTATTAATAATTCTGGGAATTAATGAATATTAATGAATATTTTCCTTGTATTACAGTCCTTGCATCTAGAATCATCTTCCTCTCTGCTCTTCATCCACAAGACATGCTGGAATAGGAAGCAATTCAATTCTGTAGTGACAGAATACAGATAGACCTTTAGAAGTCAGTGATACGTGTCAACCTACACTATCCATTTGCTCAATCTATTTGTTTGAAACAATCCATCTGAATCTTAAATAGAGTTTCCTGAGCAGCAAGAGGAGGAAATGTTCTCTCTCCTATATGGACTGGCCTATTTTTCTTGGCTTGCCTTTGATTTTAAGTCTCCTTTGGATAGTGCACAAAGTTAAAAAAAAAAAAAAAAAATCTCAGCAGAATATTTCTGTTTTAAGACCTGTAGGCCATCTTCTGCAGTGCTTTATTATCTGGGAGTCCTCCTGATTTCCTACCTGAGTAATATGTATTTTGTTGACATTTTTTGAGTCAGTAAGAAAACTGAAAGACAAGGAAAGCATCTTTGTTCATTTTGCTTTCCATTCTGAAGGTGTCTATAAGTTATCTGGAGCTCACGAATTAGAACAGGACTCTCATTCACTGGAATAAAATATGCCATTGAAATTAAAAAAAAAAAGCCTCAGGATAAAAGATTTGAAAGGCTGGAGGCTTTAAAAAATTTTCTAAAGCATGAGTCCAGCTAGTTATGTGGAACTCAAAACAGCAGCTTCAGCAGTGCTCTTTGGAGGGCAAGGAGGAATATCCTACTTCGCATGGACCTGAAAATGGCTACAAAGAGCACAATTTATATACATAAGCAACAACAAAGCTGTTTAAATTCTCAAGGCCTTTCACAGGGTGGACCTTATTGGGATGGGATATAGTGGCTTAGAAATGGAAAGATTAGAAAAACTGCAGTACAGCTTGCAAAGCATCTGTCAATATAAGCAGCTTCACGAAGAGAACTCTCTTGACTGCGGCTTTAGTTTTGATGCATTACTGTAAGAAAAGCTACTGTCATCACAAGCGTAGCACAATGCTTCTCGCTGACTCCAGAGCAGGACAGACCAGAACACCTGAATCTGTACAGCATTCTTATTGTAATTATTTTGCTTGACACTTGTTCATGATTTATTTGATAATAATTATTAATTTTCAATGGCTTGAGCTCTTTGAAATAGAAGAGCTGCACAGGCAAAGAGTTAGCTGCATGCAAGGACTTGAATGCAAAAAAAGATCTTCACTTCATTTTGCTACCATTTTTAGCCAGGCTTCCAAGTATGTGGTGAAAGATTTGCTGAGAAAAGCAATAAGCCGTTACTTGGACAACTGTGCACAGAACTGCCTTTAAAAAAAATGCGTCATCATTCAAAACTGAACCCACCAACTAAACCAAAGCCATACATGTATCATTTCCCAACCTGCATAGGGTTGATCTGCACTGAACGTTCAAAGCACTCCACACATTCCCTGAATTCCCGGTTGCGGAGATGAAGGAGGCCTTTGGAGCGCTGGGCGCGGGCGCTGCGGTGCCTGGAGAGCTCCCAGGCTTTGTCATAATACTGGTGGTCTTTAAGAACATCACCAAGCAAACAATATAATCCCGGTGTTTCCTTTTTCTCTATCTCCCGCCTTAGTATTTCTTCCGCCTGTTAAAGAACATAGAGAAATCAATACATAATGAGACAATTTATTTTCAGTTAATCATCTACCTGAACAAATACCACCTTGCAATCATCTATTGAAGACTAAGAAGCAGAGACAGTATGGGAACAGTATCTTAATCCAACACAGGAGCAAAGATAAGGTCTAGAGAGAAGCTGGTTCCAAACTGGTTTTGAAAAAAAACCCACATCAACACAATACGGTGGCTTTTGGTTTAACACACCGAGGAAAATATACCTGTTCAAACAAGAAGCAGCTTGCTCCTCCTTTTGTATCTTAGGTGTGTATTTTATCCCAAGAGCAAATATCAGTCCTGGACATAAAACTTACTGCACTGCTATGAGGTAGGTGTATCAGTACCATTTATATGCAATCCTAATAGTTTATAATCTGTGATTTTATATATCCTAACAAGTCTCTTGCAGCGTCTATCATCCCTTTTTCTCTTTTCTGAAAACAGTTATTTCCATTTTACTGTGTCTGGAGAAACATTCCCTTTCATACTGTTGGTTTTGGAAATGCTACTCTTTTACATAAGATGCAGAAGCTATAAATTTATCTAAAAGTTAGAGATAAAATACATTCAGAATAGGTACAGCATTAAGAAAAAGAAGCTTGGTCTCCCAGACATCTATTATGGGCTGTAACCAACTTTCAAACGCTCTTTATCTCAGGGTCACTATCTTGCTCTAACAATAAAATTATTGTTTTTCTTTTAAACACGGGATAGTCTGCTTTCTGTGTCTTTTTGGAAAGATAAATACACTGGACAGATGATCTGTTGTTCAGACCAAACTCCTACCTCAGTCCCCTGCTGCAAAAATGTAACATACACAATGCAGCTCAGTATAATTTTTCTACTAAAAAAGATCTATTTGAACCATCTGAACCAAGAAAGAGTCAGTGCAGCCTGCCACAGCATTGAAGTTTGACGTTGTAACACTAGTCATTTTTCTATCATAGCTGGTTTATCTACAAGGAAAGCTGAGTTTGTCTCTGAATTTAAATTATTACTGCTTTTCTTGCTTCTATAAGAACTGTTTTCTTTTTCCTTCCGATGATCTCTAGATAATCAGTCTCTCACACCTCTTCCTCCAATCAGTAGAATTCATTGATATGGTCTGAAAAAAATCTTTAGAAAAATGACTTTGTTCTACTATGTTTTGCAATATTTAATGTAGAGCAATTTTAACACTATCATTTTTGTTAAATAAAGTAGCAGTAAAAGTCTACAAAAATGTGAAGTGCATAAATGTGAAGGGATTTATTACTTAGATTTCTAAAGGGTTCTTAAACTAGCAAAAATGGAATCACATTAAGAAGAAAATTAGTGGCTGAATATTAGGAAAATAACTTAATGACAAGTGGTTTTAAGTGCCTATAGAACAGTTCTCCAAATACAAAGAAACTATTACTTAAAATTTAGAATTAGCCTAGTCAAAGCAGTAGAAAACCTCACCTAACAAGAAGACTACTTGCAGAGGGTTTGGTTAAAGGGCAGTTTGCCTCCCCTTCCCTGCCTCCAATAGTTGCTATGACAAGATTAAAAGAACACACATTAATAATAAATCTTTAAGACGATTTTTTTCTAGAGCAGAAACACCTGATCCTTTATTATTGCAGTAATGACCTGAGGCACCACAAGGTAAGGGTTTGTTCAGATAAAGAATAAAGACTGAAACGCTGTTGTGCAAACAGCACCTCTGAGGTGGAAAGTGCATTGCATGCTGATGCTTTACCTCTTCCTCTGCAGGGCACTCCCAAGCCCAGGGGGCTACTCTGTGGCAGTGCCTACTACTAATCATACACTAGACTAGAAAGCCACCCATTCACTAATTGTGTTTCACATCTAAGAGCATAAAACCCATCATGTTCTGGTATAAGCTTACAAGAATTCATTGCCAAGATAATTATTTCAGCACACAGATAAACCAGAGAATTAAATAAGCATAAATCTGATTTTTTCTTCAGCTGATTAGCTATCTGATCACCTCTCTGGCATGTTACAACCCTTTTTATTACTTAAATCTTTAAAGGCTAATACAAAGGATCATAACTATAAACTAAAACCAGAAAGTATTCTGAAAGCATTTGTGATTTGTGTTCTACAAACCAGATAATACTTTAAAACTGGATTTCTCATTCTGCCTAAGGTTTTGTGAAGAAACTTTGTCCTAAAAATTATATATAAATTAAGAAAATTATAAATTAAAAGCTACCTAAAAATAAAAAAAAATGAAGCTGTATAACCCTTGCTGACTGAAAGAGATGTAGTTCTAACAATGCTGCTTTTCACAGAATGCTCTGTACCAGAACGGTACCATGCTCTAGAGCTCCTGCAAGGCTTCACTTCAGGTGAAAGAACTGAAAATTCACATCTCTGGTTCATCGCTTCTTTGTTCTTTAGCAGGGAAATGGTACCATTTTTAGTGTATTATGCGTTTCCGGTGAGGCTGAATAGACCTTTTACACCTTAACCAAATAAAGTTGTCTGATGTAAGTAATACTCTCGAGATCTCTGGGTCCCCCTCGCAGTTAAAAGAAGGGAGAGGGACACTTTTCAACACCAGACACACATGGAGATTAGTGACTCCTTTTGCAGCAACTCTGTTAAAGGAATACGACAAGCAGAAGACTGGAATGAGAAAGCCACAGCAACTATGAACATTTGGTGCATTCAGATGTTATAATATTTTTTGTTCTGTGCCTTGTTTTGCTCATCGCCTGGCACTCTTGCTGCTCTTCTGTTGACTCACGTTATGGTACTAGTTGCTAATAATTTTGTTCAGATTATGAAACAAACGAGTATAGAGCCATATCTAGTAACAGTAAAAAAGCCACCAAAAAGTTTGCTCTTAGTGACATCTTACTCTGCAAAATCTGCACTACATGACCCTGTTATAACTGAGTGAATTATGATTTCCCAAGTGCATAATGTGGAGCTCTGCATAGCCTTATCTACATGCTCTGTTTCTTTGTCAGTGGATAATTCAAAAGCAGGAGGAAGGAACATATTACTTTGATGTGTAACTACTCAAAACGCATTGAGATTGCTGGTGTCTGGCTGTTTTATTGGATTTTTTGGTACTTAAATTCAGGTTTTCTACATAAAAGCATTTGTGAGCGAAAAACATGCAGAATTTTATTAGAGTTTGTTCTTTTGGGCATATTTATTCTAATTTTTTTAATGCCATGAACATCCACTGAACAACATCTTGCTCCAGTAAATTTTTGTGCATTTCTAAAAGAATAACTACCATGTTTAAAAACATAACAACATTTTTATAAAAACAAACAGTTCATGCTCTGAAAGCTTTCTGATAAGGAGCACAAATAGCCACTCCCCTTGGTGTAGAGCTAAATGTTTTTAATTTTCTAGTCTTTTTATCTGAAGCTAGCTTTTCTTCCAGCAGTACTTCTACTTACATAGCATTTTCTGTTTTTCAAAGCACAGCACAAACCCTCATTCTAAAAGCATTTCTAGGCAGTTTCCTGTGTCAGATATCCTGTCCTATTCTCCGAGTGCCATTTTCATAACTCCCTAAGGGCAGTTTGTGAATGTAACTAGGACAGAATGCATTTCCAGGAAATGGAAAATATTGACCTCTATTTCTCCACCGTACCTAAAAAGATTGGGATATTAGCATACTATGCCCAAGGCACGCATAATGCGACACAGAATTTGCTAGCCAAACATGTCTTTCAGTTTATAATGACCAAAATCTAGGGGTTGGTACATGATAATTAGGAAAAAATATTTAAGTATGAAAAATTCTACACTTTTTCTATTACTTGAAGAAGCTCTCTACGCTGTAAACTTAAATTAGTTTAAGTATAGTCTTTGTGCTTATGGCATCATAAAGGCACACTTACATTCGTATATTTAATTCTAATATATACCAAACAGAGGAAAGAACATGGAAGAAAGGAAAAAAACATGTGTTTGTCTGAAGGTGAGTATTTCTGAAAGCTATATAAATTCTGAAAACAATGCTTGATAATGTAAGACGCTGTTACAGTCTTTCTGTGTGAGAGATTATACCAGAAAGAGAACACAGCTGAAGTTACACACAAGTAGTCATTGTTTCCAGCTATCATTTTCTAAAATCTTCCTACCATTGCTCTAATTGTAACATCAAAATAAAGAACAACAGGAGGGCTGCTACAGCCTGCTACCAGCATTTTTAAACAATTCTGTCACCGATACACAGAGTTAGGTGACGGCTTTAGATTGTCTTTGTGTGGAGCTGATCACACATGGTTGCAGCAGTGCTAAAGAAATGATGCACAAGTTCAAGAAAACATCAACACAGACTTAACAAAATAAGGCCTTTCAATCTTACACTACTTGTCTCAAATATTTGATTCTGTATTTTGAATATGTTAACACCAGGTAATTAAGCATCAAGCACCGATTTTGTTCTATTTAAATTGTTTTTAAAAACAGTTAATAGTTTGAAATCAAGTGGCGAGGAAAACTAACATCCCCTCCAGACAAAGCTCCAAGATCCCATCATTAATGACTGCTACAGCCTTCCTGAAATGCCTACGTTACTCCCTGCTGTGCATCCACAGCTGTTAACTTAGTTTTCCTTGAATATTTTCAAGAATCACTATCACAATCTTCTTGCTTCTGAAGTTATTTCTTATTTACCAACTTCCATTTCATGTGGTCATTAAAATAATATTTTAATTCTTTTTTTTTTTAGCATTCACAGGTCAATCTGTGATGACAGACCGATATTTCATGTGTCCATTTTTCCTAAACAGACTTCTCTCATGAGACCCCTATGGAAGTGAGTGTCATTAGTGAACTGTCAGCTCAAGCCAGACAGTCCTTCAGACTTCAGATACTATTTCAAGACAGGATCTCAGCTGTTAAAATCATTTTTCTTACCTTTCCGTGCTGTCCTGCTCTTTCATAGCAGATTACTGCATCTTCCCACATTTCCAACTCCTCATATATCTGTAGGGCAGAGCTGGTGCATCCCAGCTCAAAGAGCAAGCTTGCAAGCTGACGCTGGAAAGATAAGAAATTCCATTTAACTCAAATTAGGTAAGTTAAAATTATTCACATTTTTAAAAGACGCTAGAGACATTTATTTCTGACATCAGGCAGAGAATATGAAATTATTCTCTTGAAACTTCAAGCTGGAGCCTCAAACAATGTATATACCTCAAAAAAAAAAAATCATCGGAACAGTGTTTGGTTTGATTTGACTTTTGTTCATGTCATAGTTTAATTACTTTGAACGAGTTTATAAAATAATGCAAAAAATGGAAGACGACACAGCAAGGATGAATTGACAGAGCTGGACTTCCACCTCTTAAATGGGGCACATGGCCCTTGGGGCTGGAAAGCAGCTGCAGCAGGATGTTGGGAATACTGAGAGTGGGCAACGGAGGCTGAAGGAGAGCATTAAAGCCCCTTCTAGCAACACTCTGCCATAGTACCCTGGACCTGTGAAAAATCACAGATGAAGAGAAAGGCTCTGATACAATTTTGTTAGGTACATGTGCAAAATGGGTTTAAATTGAAAGCAAGGAGATTTAGATTAGATACCAGGAAGATGTTCTTCCCAGAGAGGGTGGTGAGGCACTGGAACAGGTTGCCCAGAGAAGCTGTGGATGCCCCATCCCTGGAAGTGTTCAAGGCCAGGCTGGATGAGGCTTTGAGCAACCTGGTCTAGTGGAAGGTGTCCCTGCCCATGGCAGGGGGGTTGGAACTAGATGGTCTTTAAGGTCCTTTCCAACCCAAACCAGTCTGTGATTCTGTGATTCTATGAAATCTGTCCCAAACAGCCACTGCCAAAGGGTGTTAGTTTTTACTCAAATGAATATTGGATCTGAGTTCAGTTTCAACTCCCTAGTTGAGTTCTCATCACAAAGAGGTCAGCCTCTTTGTTATTTCAAATTCAGCTATTATTTCAGTGTACTTATAAAAATGAGTCATCTTTTCAATTTAAAAACAAACAAGGTATGTTTTCATGACTTTGTAAAGTTGTCTTTGGTCTCTTGCTTATTTTTTCAAGAGATTAAAATCACATATAGGTTTTCATCTTTGAAAAAAGGATAACTTATTTACTATGTCTGACAGATAATACAGTTTGGTTTGCAAAACCAAACATGAGCATTCTGTGTCAGGGAACCTAATTATGCTATCAGAGCCCATACAGCAAACCTCTTCAGTGCTTTTGGTGATCCTGAATGGATTCTCTGCAGATGTCATGGACCTCTCTTTCTAGGTTTGAGTTCAGTATCTCTTACAAATCCAAGGAGTCACCTTACGGGAGCAGACTGGTAGTCAAAAAATTAAGAACTGGCTACAGTTCTTTCAATTAAATATGTAACAAACTCCGTAATACAGTAATTATTTGTTGGCTTGATATTAATCACTTAGGGAGAAACCTACCTCTGCCAGTGCCTGGAACTAAATCCCATTTATGTTTTATTAAATTTACGCAGAGTGAAATTTGGTAGAATTTCTATAGGCAATGCCTCTTCATTAGTATGACTAGGAGACAGCAGCCATCTTCCATTATAAAACCCTATTTTAGTATTTCTATCTTTGCCTTGAAAAATTGACTTGGATTGAAAAGTGCCACCCTGACAACTGGAAATGAAAACCACATTTGCTAGTTTTATTGCAAGCGCCTGTTGAAAGGTCGGATGGAATAACTGGAGAGTGCTAGGAGAAGATATGATCAGTTAAAGCAAGATGAATTGAGGTTACAAATTGAAAAGGAATAAAACACCATTAAAAGTAAACAACATGAACACCTTTGGAAGTATGCAATGCAAGAATTATTCTTAAGTTTGTTAAATACAGCATCATCATTTAAGAATCTAATGTGTAGATTTCTGTTCCAGAAAGTTTATTGTCAAGATAAATAGTGTAGCTTTGGGGAAAAAAAACCTAACGTCAGGCACTATAAGAAGGGCCACATATTGAAAAGGAAAATGACCACGATCCACTTCTTGAAAACAACCCAAAATGAATGATCATCAAAAGATGAGAAAGATGCAAGTAATAGTGGCAAGACTATTTTTACAGGAGATATGTTGGAAGTTTGTAAGTTTTGGTCCATTTTTTTATTCAAGTAAAAAGGAAAGTAGAAAACAGCTGTGCTATAAGCAGTTACTTCTGTGCACGACAGGGTAAGACATGTGAAAGCGTAACACTGCAGAACTTGGTTTCTTTCCAGAAAAACCTGCTGTGTTGTTAGGCTATGTCTTTATTTCTGCAGCGTTTCAGCTCAAGATCATATCACAGTCTCTGGACTTTGGAATCGTGCAGAACCACAGACTTTTAAGTAAAGCTTGAAATGGGACTGTGTCACACCTGTATGGCCCAATGTGGAGGCACCTGACAACAGTAGAACATCTTCATGCGTTCAGTTACTGACGTATTTGCATCTTCAAATTGGTCTGCAAGTGCCTGTAAATGCAAAGTAGATTCTGATTTAGTATTTACTTACAAATAATCAACCTAAAATCCCATAAATTTAAAGCATTCAGGATTTTAGGCATTCTTGAGTTAATGGAGAAATGATACTAAAGGTAACACTAAATGCCAGTAAGCTCACACCGTAATATGCTAGCCTTTGTATTACCCCATGTAAGAAAATCTAATAAACATTTACATAAAAGTTCTTTATTATAGCTGATAATAAATAACACTGTTTTGGAGAGATTCAAATGTCAAAGAGCACACAACAGGAGTAAGATTCAAATCTACAATCCCACACAAATACCTGCAGAGTAAAACTCTGCCAAACAGTCAAGTGACCTTACCTAATGCATTTCAATCCTTTATCTAGTTTTTCGTGTCTAAGAGAGTACTGATGTGCTTTAGGCATGAAATGTCTTATTAAAAAGAAAGAGAAAGACAAACATATTATACTGGACCATGCTTTTGGAAACACAATTTTAATATAAAATAAATTATTGTGACTTAGAATACAATTCATTTCAGGTGCTTTTTCCTTGTGGTGGAGCTTTGGATTGTTGAAATGTTTTATTCTGAAATCCTTTGAAAAAGAATAGTCACTTTTGCACAGCAAAAGTGCAACAGCTTCAGACTAACTACTTCTATGAAAATCCACTACGCAGTTATTTAAATCAAAATTCAGTAGCAAGAAAAATAAAATATTTAAGGTACCTATAGCCAGAAAATTGGTTAGAAATTTTAAGATAAGGGAGAAACTCTCTCCAAATGCCAGTCATCACTAAACTAGCAAATTCAAGGCCAGAGGTATAAATAAAGGAATATTAAATTACTTGGCCTTCACAGGATTCATCTATCCTAGTCTTGCACATCAGTCAGTCAAAGATTTACAAGGAGGAGATAGACAGATTCTCAGATTTTTCTCAGCATGGAAAATAAATGCAAAGATTCCCAAGCAAAAGAAAAAATTGAATAGGATTGCTTTTTTCTCTCTTTCTAAATCCAACTGTTGGCGACCCAACCTATTACCAATAGTGCAAATAATAGTTGTGTAAAATTAAAATAGTCAGTTCTGTGATTTAAACTGCTAAACATCTTGTAACTGCAACTGATGTTAATGGGGTTTATTAGGTGGCTTCATTCTTTAAGTGAGAAAAAAAAAATCACTACATACAGCAAAAATGTAGGCATGCTTAACATGCATAATAATGCTTGCTTAACTACCTAATTTTAAATACTAAGATTTAAAATATTCAATCTTATTCACATTCTCTTTCATAAAATTATCTCCAGAGACCTGTTCCTAGAGATTATCCACAAATCTAACCCAAGAAAATGGCTGAGGTGTATTTGTAGTAGGGTAAGGGACAGACTAATAAAATCATATTCCTTTACACAGTTCCAAGCAATCCAAAATGAGTCAGACGCAAATAAAACCTTTAAAGTAATATTATTTAATTACAGAGTGTACTTGACTATGAACTATATAACAAACCATATTTCAGTTTTAGTTCTGCTAAGATGTTCTGATGCTGTGCAGAAGCACATTTTCCTATGTTTTGTTGCAACAAAAATTAAGCTGGAAAATTGTCCAATTCCTTGGGTAATAATTCTCTAAGACCAGACAAAGTAGTAAACTACAGTTGAAAAATTTTTAAATAATAATTGCTCTAAGCCTGGGCAAAGCCAGAAAATTCTAAATATGCCCTGCAGTATAATTTTTTGAGAAGAACAGGAGATGGAAGGCAGAAAATGTTTTAAGTCGAACAAAACATTTTGTTCTTGTTTTAGCCTTAAAAAAAAAAAAAATTCTATTGTTCCAAAAGGAAAACTGGTATTCAAAGAAAAACAGTTTTTCAAAAGCAACATATTTTATTGGAAAATTTGTGGCCATATTCTTTCTACACTTCCTAAGCAGAAAAGCCTAATATAAATGACATGTTGTAGGAGCATATGACTGTTAGCAAGTAAAATTCTCTCCCTTCCCAAAACAAATACTGTACTCTGTTCAGAGTTCCAACAAAAACTGAAAATGTAGGTAGAACATATGAATATTGCATATTCCCTAAAAAAGGATAAATGTTAATGAACCTAAAAGTAATTAAAATCCATGGCTTATGCATGTTCTCACACTTTGAAAAAATAAGCTCTGATAGTTTTGCTTATTAGTGAAGTATAGAAAATGTTACTCCAAAATAGCTGAATTCTGTGTTTCTGAACTATCCTTGAAGAAAGAAAATTTGGGTTGTGTAGTGCTGAGAAAACAAGAATCCTAACCTTATTGCACAGCTAATATCTAATCACAGAACAATAAATCGATAAAATGCACAAGTAGCACTGTCAAGCAAGCATCCCTTCTCAGTAATAATCTTCAACATACAGCGTAAAAACAAAGCTATGTAAATACAGAATATTCACAACACAGTCAAAAAATATCTTAGTGACTTAGTTTAATTTGAATCTCAAATTCCTGCCTTGAAAGTTAAGTAGAACTACAGCAGAAACCAATTAAAATTCACAACTCCAAATGATATATAAGTTCTTCCATATGCAACATTTAAAAACACTAAGCT